TTTTGAAGTCTATAATTTCTGGAACGTTAGAATCCAAAACAATCTTTGTCGTATATTTGGTATTGGTTTTACCAATTTTACCTGGACAATCAAGAAAACAAAAGAGAGGAAAAATGCATTAAAATAACAATGGATATAAAAATTTAAGAAACAAAAAATACCAATTTTAACTACACAATTAAGAAAACAAATAGAACAATAAATATACCATTGAAACCCTTTATCTTTGCAAGCTGGACTATTATAACGTTCTGCAGTGACTCATTGTTTGCCAAGAAAGATTGCACCTCATCCACATACTGCTCCCAAAGAGTGCACTCAAGTTTCTGACCCCTATGTAACGAAGCGGTGGTAAGAAGTGCATTTTGTATATATTAAAACGACATCCAAATAACAAAGCAACATGCAAGATACCTGAGGTTGTCAAGTTCTAACACAATCATTTTTGTTTTTCTGCCGGACACAACATACTCACGAACTTCGCCAATTCCAGAAAGAAGGCCGATCACGTCTGCACAAAAGAAGCTGCAGTCACCATAACGTTACGAAAAAATTAAATATACAATTAATGGGAAAAAAAATTACCCACTAAATAAGGACAGTCAGGTGCTTCGTTTTCAATAACGTCGAAATTAACAAAACTGAATCCATTTAAAGGAATAGCCCCATCAAATGTCGTTTTAACATCCGTCCTCAAATTAAAAGACAGACGATAATCATGTCTGGTTGGCCTAAAACTATCGCTATTTATACCAACTCCAAGATTTTTTATAAAATAAACACCTCCTTCGCTAATTTTTTTTCGTACTTGCAAAGTTCCTTTCACAGTAGCATGGATTCTTCAACCCCACAAAACGCATACATACAATAGTTTAAAAAAACAATAAACATATCACAATAGAATTGCAAATGGTATGGCAAGAGAAAAACCATTACATGTTCATCCAAAAGAATCATCTCCACGTCGTCAAAACCTTTATTCTGAAAATTAAGGACCTTCCAAGTCCTAACCACCCTAACTTTGATCTTCCAATCCTCCTTAGACGGATTAAGATCCTTTACAAAATCATATTTGGAGCTCATAACTAACAATACAATACCACCTTTGGGAGGGGTTTAAAGCCTTAATCCTGGATCTGTCCCGAATCGGACTAGTCACGAAGCGATGAATTGATTGGAATATTTCCAAAAAAAAAAAAACGATACAATACCACACAACGTAAACGATGAAGGATTTGAGAGAACGAAGAAAAATGAGGAGATGAACAATGCGAGCAGACCCGGTTTCAACAAAGAAGGCGTCCCATGCAAATTATGTTCTATTTGTACACGACTTCTCTTGGCTTGCACATCAAATATTTAAAAAAACTTTTAAGCTTCTACTAATACACAACTCTAAGAAACTTTTCAACTCCCAATAAGGTTCAATAAATTGCTGCAGCTTCCAACTCTCGCAGCTTCCAATAAGGTTTAATAAATTGTTGCAGCAACCAACTTTAACTTTCGCGGTTTTCAATAAAGAGATAGTGGAAATTTAATTGTGTTAGTCAAAATATATATTTTTAATCGGATTTTGATTGTTTTTTAAAAATTTCAAGCTTAAAAAATAATTTAAAAAGTTATTATAACAGGAAACATTTCAAATTCCTTTAGGTGTGAACACAAAGTTGAAATTGAAGGAGAACGCGACACGTCATCAAACTTTGCAACAAACGGTTTTCCTTTATAATATATATATATTTATTTAATTTTTTGACCGATTCATCGATTATTTGAGTAATCCGGTCGAACCGAGTAGGAACACAAGGTTCAATCAAGTTTTTAACGCAATTGTGTACCCATGTTTTAAACTCGAAACCAATAATTAAGTTGGAATAACTTCATGCTAATTGATCTACGAGCTTGATGATTGAAAAAAACAATATTTAACCCATGATGCACGTAACTAAGGGTGTGTGTATACTAACGTTTTCAATATTTTTGGTTAACTTTTAGTATAAAAACAGAACCCCAGAAAATGAACCAATAGTAAAGAAATACATATTAACATAAATAAAGAATATATATATATATATAGAATGATTATATTTACAAACTTTTATTTATAAACTCTTACAAATTATACTATGTATTATCGGAAGAAGTATATTAGGTTACACTGTGTACTTCCCGAAGTATATAATGTAATTTGCAAAAATTTATGAAAAAATTTTATAAACAGATACTTCTCTCTCTCTCTCCCTATATATATATATATATATATATATATATATATATATATATATATATATATGCTATTGTTTCAAGTCACACTTTTATCAAAAACACATATTATAATATATTATCAGGGTTCAATACATTCACTCTAAAACATTGTGTTATCAGGGTTAAATAGTATTATCAAACTCATTGTGTTATCAAACACTTTTTTCAATCCAAAAACACTTCCTAAGCTCAGAGATAAAAATAAATTATTTATTCCAAAAAGATAGAATCATGCATACCCTAAAACATTCTTGCAACCTCAACTTGACCAAGTGGGTCCAACATTACAACATAAAAAAATCATTCAAAGTGACGATACAAGAAAAGGCCTCATCGTCATGATTGGTAATGGTTACAGGTAGCGTAACCCAAACGTTTTTTCACTTGACTAGAAATACAAGACAATTTTGTAATTTGACCACCTAAGACAAGAAAAAAAGAAAAGAAAAAGAAAATCAGATTCGAAGAACCCGTGAAAGATATTCCCGCGGTAACAACACAGGTAAGCCGTAAGCAGAGGCATCAAATTCTTGCTTTAGTACCCATTAAAAATTTGAAGGAACTCTCTTTAATGAGCCATCGGGCCACACAATATTCACTTGTATTGGATCCATAACTAAGTTTCCCTTTATTTATTTTGTTAGTTTACATTACCAACTAAGAATAATATGGCTTATCATCAAAGCAAATAGCTAGGCATGAAATAAAATAAATTAAGGAATTTGTGGTGATTTATATATTCAATTAAGACAAATTATAATATTGTATGTCAAATGATTAGGTAACATTCACATACATAAGGTCTCGTTTAAGCCCCTCCAATAAGTAAAATTGATTAATGTTCAGTGTGAACATCCAAGGTTAAATCCATTTGGGAGTACTTATTAGGGCCGGCAAAATGGGCTGAGCCCGCCGGGCTGGCCCGCCCCGCCTGCCAAATGGGGTGGGCTGGGTTGAGTCTTTCAACCCACCAGCCCGCCCAACCCGCCCCGCCAAACCCGCCAGCCCATATGGGTCAGCCCGCCACGGGGCGGGCTAGCCCGCCAAGTCATTTTTTTTTTTTTTTTTAGGTTACCCAATTGTTATGTAGCTCCGTATCTTAGATTTCTCTGCTTGCAAGTGGCTTTTTTGAATTGTTGTGGACTGCTCATACAACACTTTGTTACTTGTTTTGTTATTCTATTTTATCCTGATATGATTTTATTTTTTTATTATTATTTTTGGATTGAAAGATGCATATTTATATGCAGATTATTAAACACTGATCTTCTTGGTTTCATAAGCACATTAGGATTTTATACAGATTTTTGTATGCTTTTATGCAGATTTTTTTATGTGATTTTATGCAGAATTTAATTTTTTGTATTTTATTTTTATATATTTTTTATTTTAGGCGGGCTGGCCCGTAGCCCGCCAGCCCACTCATAAAACGGGCCGGGTTACTCAATTCAACCCATTTTGTCAAAACGGGCCGGGGCGGGCCAGCCCATTTTGGACGGGCTAGTGGCGGGCCGGGGCGGGCTGGGGCGGGCTGGCCCATATTGCCAGCCCTAGTACTTATGGTTGATCTGAACTTAATTCCCTTGAACTTTATCTTCTTCTTTAACAATTATTATTAATGAACAAAGGGCAGTTACTAACTGGATAGTTATAATGATCATGGTCTTATCATCATATTATAGGAAAGAATTGTGGATTGGGGCCATACTCTGGGCTCCAATTCTGTGTTATGAGAAAGACTCACGATTTGCGTTCCAAATAGACGAGTTCATAATCCACAGACTTATTTTATCCGAATAAAGATACATGGACTTTCAGACTATGTCTAAATAGATCCATCCGAGTTATAAATCAGGAACAATTAGTATAATTATCTAATTATAATATGATAATTACATAAATTATCTCGCACATAAATCTATAAATATATACAAGTAATTAATTTTATGCAAAAAATGATAATATGTTACTTATTTGTTGGTCTTAGGAGGGGACCCAATGATGAAATTGTGGAGCCACCTTGTGGAATAGACTTATAAGGACACGAAAATCTAAAACACAAATCTATGATTCCATCTCACTATCAGTTCTAAATTCTGTCTCTTCTGTATCATCACTGAGTCTTCTTTGTTTTCTGTCTCCTTAGTCCTTTTTCTGAAAAGGGTGGTACTTATTTCATGTAATGAAGAATAGCAGGGTTGTTCAAAAAGGGTTCTCTTCTCTTTACTTTAATGGCCTTTCTCAAAATGCATAGCTTATATTAGACATCCATGTTATGATGTGTCATGTATGAGCATTTCATAGTTGAGTACTCTTAAGTCTCTCAATTGAGTAGAAGAAATAATGGGTAGGAGTTGTTTTGTGGTGTTTTTTGCTCTTATAGTTCTACTTGGTCTCTTCTCTCCAACTTCAGCTACACCACCACCTGCAAGTGAGTGCAACAAGCTCTAAACTGTTTCCTTCATAAGCAAATTTCCTCCTTATTAGAGTTTTGTTATTCTAAACATTTTTTTTTGTGTGTGATTTTATGTTAACATGCAGAAATTGTTACTGGGGTTGTCTCCAATGTGGTTTCTGCTTTTCTTAAATGGCTATGGTCACTAAAATCCACAACCAAACAAGGTAGAGAGGTCTTCCATTGAGATCTCATGTTTCAGTTTTCACATGTTGCTGGATTTGTCTTTTCAAGTTGCTATGCTAACATTGGTCTTTCATTGTGGAATCATTTCTCAGTGCAACACAGTCGTTCCATGATGAAATTCGAGAGTGGTTACACTGTGGAAACAGTATTCGATGGAAGCAAGCTTGGAATTGAGCCACACTCAGTTGGAATATCTCCAAATGGTGAATTTGTGGTTCTTGATTCTGAGAACAGTAACATCTACAAGTTCTCAAGCTTAGTGTCCAGATGTAAGCTTCCTTTGCTGAAATTGTCTAAGCTTGATTATGTGTTTTATTTTAAAATCCCATTTTTCTTGGTTGGGATATTGATATGTATAGAAGATCCTAGTTTTCCAATATTGTGGCTTTCCTTTTCTTCATTATGCCAAAATGCTAGATTCAAAATTCAAGCGTGTCCTTTAAGTAAGTCTTCTGTATGAGTTTTACCTTGTAGAAAGACTTAGCTTCATGAGTGGAACATCTTTGATTCTGCTATGCTTTTGAAAAGATGCTTAATGAGCTTTTGTTAAGCGCAAGACTCCACTTTTTAAGTACAACATACCTTTAGTCACATACAAAATAAAAAGAGTATAACATACCTACATGATATTTTGCAATCTTTTGAAAAAAATTAATGTAAGGCAGACAAGGATAAAAAACCAAAAACATTGAACACCAGATTGACTTCTTCTTTATCCCCACTATAGTCTTTTTTCTTTCTTGTTGGTTCTTGCTACATAATGTAAATGTCACATCCATTATAGTGTAATTCTGTAATTTAGAGCTTCTTGAAGACAACTACACCATCTGGCGGTTAAAAAAATAAACAAACACACATTGCACAGTGGCTTCTGAAGCAGATTTGTTTCAGCTTGTTGGCATGATTAGTTAGACTTCCTCAGAAATTTTCTTATGCAAGGAGAACATGCAACTGTCCTACTGAGTACTGAATCTTTGTAGTGTGTGACAGTGAATAAAAGAATGTCTACAGAAAACATTGCAAAACTATGACCCCATTGATATTCAACAAGTAACTTAAGCTTCTTTAAAAATAGAGTCAAACTGTAGCTTGTCAAAAATTAGAGTGTAATTGATTGAATTCCAAGAGAAATTCCACAATTTCTTTATTGATATATTATTGGCAATTTATAAACAAAATCCTAAATGGTTTGAGTTTTTCTCTTTTTTGTGTGCCCTCCACAATAGTGTCCTTTTTTGTTTCATTTTGTTTGGTTTTGCTATATATAATGAACGGATGAACCACAGATAGCAGACCCAAACTGCTTGCTGGATCACCTGAAGGGTATATTGGACACATAGATGGAAGGCCTAGAGAAGCTAGAATGAACCACCCTAAAGGGCTTGCAGTGGATGGAAGAGGGAATATTTACATTGCAGACACATTGAATATGGCCATTAGAAAGATCAGTGATGAAGGTAAGGTATACATGGAATGCCTGGGGCCTCTTAATCTGTTTAAGAATGAAATGAATGAACCAATATGCTGAAATTCTAAAAAAACAAGAGGATCTATGTTTTCTCCTTTGCATAATCAAAATATCCTTAATCTACTTATTACCAAATCTGATTAATGTCTAACTCTAAAACATGCCTTTTGTACAGGTGTTACCACAATTGCAGGAGGGAAATGGGGCCATGTAGGAGGCCATGTTGATGGTCCAAGTGAGGATGCTAAGTTTTCAAATGATTTTGATTTAATTTATGTTGGTAGTATGTGCTCTCTTTTGGTGGTGGATCGAGGAAACCAAGCAATTAGAGAGATTCAACTCCATCAAGATGATTGCACTACTTATGATGAGTATGAAAGTAATTTCTACTTAGGTATGATCCACCAGTAATCTAATCAACTTTGCTTCTGTTTGTTTATTTTGTATTATTTTGAGGCATGCTGAACTAAAAGGTATGCAATTAACATTATAGAAATAGCGTTGCTTGTTGCTGCTGGATTCTTTGGCTATATGTTGGCATTACTGCAGAGGAGAGTGAGGGCTATGTTTTCTTCTCCACAAGTAAGTTATACATGCTAATGATTTTCTTCTATAGAATGATGTCATGAACCATTGTGACAAGTTGGAAAACCTATAAATTCTAAAACTTTCTTTGGTTTTGAGGTATACTTTTCTTCCTCGGCTCCAAGCTAAGTTTTTCTAAATAACCAATTGTATCCTAAATTCAATATGTTGGATGTATTCTGGTCACAGAACAGAATATATGTTTATTAAAGTATTAAACAAGGGAAGTCTACTTTTGAGTGCGGCCTTGGAGCAATAATAAGATTACTCCTTTATGATCGGAAGGTCACCGGTTCAAGTATGGGAAATAGCCTCTTTGCAAAAATGTAAGAATAATACTGCATACAATCGACTCTTATCTCTGTCCTCGCAAAGTCGGGGAGGCTAGTCTAGTTCTATAAAACTTGCATTATGCACATGGTATAAAGAAGGGTTGATAGTAGGTAGCTTTACCTTTTACAAGAGGCTGATTACATGGATCGAACATATAATTCTCATGTCAGGTGGAAACAATACCAACAAACATATTATATAGTATAATAAACAGGGAAATTTCATAATCTTGTTACATTTTCAGGATCCAAGAGCTCCTTTAAGGAAAGATACACAATTTGCAGCACAGCAAAGGCCTCCTCCCAAGTCAGTCAGGCCTCCTTTGATCCCAACAGAAAATGAATTTGAGAAACAAGATGAGGGCTTCTTTGTTTCTCTTGGAAGGCTTTTCCTGAACTCTGGCTCATCTATGGGTGAAATTTTGGGGGGCTTGTTCTCAAGATCCAAAAGTAAACCACTCCAATATCATCAGTACCAGCAGCAGCAACAACAACACTACCAGTATGCAAACAAACATTCTAATGCTTGGCCCATGCAAGAGAGTTTTGTCATTCCAGATGAAGATGAACCTCCTTCTATAGAAACTAGAACTCCTACAAATAGGAAATCCTATCCTTTCATGACCAAGGAGCTGGAAAGGCCACAGCAACACTACAAGCCAACTCGGGCTTACTTGAATGGTGATTATGATGAACATCAACAACAACAACATCATCATCAACAACACCGTTATCCCAAGCTGCAACACCAGGAGCAACACCCCCATTATTCTTCCAACTCACAAAGTTACTATGAGCAGAACCGTGAGACAAATGAGATTGTGTTTGGTGCAGTTCAAGAACATGATGGAAGACGTGAAGCCATGGTAATAAAGGCTGTAGATTATGGTGATCCAAAATACAGTAACCACAATATCAGACCTAGATTAAATTATGTTGGTTACTCCTCCAATGGTTATTGAAGATTAGTGATTATTTCCATAGCATCAAAGTGACACAAGCCATGGTAAAATATGAAGAGAGAATATTAATCTTGCCTAGGCAGGAAAAACTAGTCCTACAAATCAAAATCATAAAAAAAAGAGGACACACTAGTCTTAGAAAGTTTCTTCTGAGTAAATGCTGTAAATTAGGTCAGTACTAATGCTTGTTTGCAATTTTCACTAAAATTGTCTTTCAATTTACAATCTATTTTAATGAATTATTAAAAAAAAAGAGAAAGACTGGGATTTATTTTATTTTGAATTTGAATCTACAAACTCTATACGAATAGGTTTCTACAAATTCTGGAAGGAGCAACAATGAAAAGGATAAATATAATCATGCAGATGTCTGCATCATGTGTTTAGGTTTTAGTGTTTTTGTTACTACTAAGAATTTCTTTTATGACTGGCATATAAAACTGGCGTGCTCTTAGCACACCATGCCACATGAGCTAAGCTGATGTTAACTGCACAAATTAAAAGTGATCTTTTCTCTCTCAAATAGTTCACTCACACTCAAACATATAACAATCAAATTCATTCCATATCAAATTCATGTACTAAATTGTACTAAATGTAAAAATAGAAGAGAATAAAATAACAAAATCTCAATACTCAAGTAGCCAGAGCAAATTCAACTTCAACAATGAATCAATCTTTCATACTTTTGACTTCTCAATACAATCAGAATGTAGGCTTCTCTCCCTTCGATGTATAAAAAACAAAATCAATAAAAAGAAGAAGAAAAATAACAGTTATTCTAAGAAATAAAATTTCATCTATTCCAAGAAATAAAATAACAGTTCTTCTTAAAAAAAAAAGGACAAATCATACAAGATAAATGATAAACAGCTTTTAAGGTGAAGCAGCATTTTTTCCAAAAAAATAAAATTTTAAATGCACATATGAAGTCAAGTCATAGAAAATTTTAATGTATAAGATATAACAAATAACAGCTCTATTATTTGTTTAAAAACCATAATCCAAAAGGCTATCATCTCAAAATCGAAATATCAAGCGACATAATCATTTTTTGGAAATTTAGATATATTTAATTTTTTATTGAAAAATTTAACCATTTTTCAAAAATTTCAATACCTTCCCCGGAAAGATTAGACACCATAACCGGAAATTTCAATTTACAATCAAATTAAATGATTTATTAAAAAGAAAAAGAAAAACTGGGATTTATTTTATTTTGAACGTGAATCTACAAATTCTGTACGAAGAGGTTTCTACAAACTTTGGGGTGTTTGGTAAGAGGTTTTTTTTAAGATGAATGGGAAAGTTGAAATGAGTTTTTTAGTATTTTAAAAATTTTGCCTATCATTCGGATTTGTACAACAATCTCAGTTTTTGTGTAAATTGAAAAAAATTGCCATTTTTCAGAATACTATTCAGAGGATGGTATTTTCACTGTCTCGTCAAACTAAAAAGTAGAAAAAAAAGCAATGGACACAAATATCTCTGCTCAAAAATAAAAATAAAAAACGTGCCAAAAGAAATCTGGAGAGAGAAAGTCTGCTTTGTATTTAGTCAAGGGTTAATTTGGTAATTTCATTCCATTTTTTCATCAATATTTTACCTTCAACTAAATATAAACTCAGAAAATTTAACTCAATTTTTTGGTAATATTTTGGCCTACCAAACAAATTTTTTTTTTTTTTTTAACTTTCTTACCAAACTCTCTTTCCCACCATATTCCTAGTAATTATATTTTTTTGATAATTTTTTTTTCTTCTACCAAACACCTAGAAGCAACAATGAAAAGGATTAATAAATATAATCATGCAGATGTCTGCATTATGTGTTCTGGTCTTAGTGTTTCCTAATAAGAATTTCTTTTTTGACTTACATATAACACTGGCGTGGTCTTAGCACACTATGCCACATGAGCTAAGCTGATATTAAATGCACAAATTAAAAGTATATGCCATTGAAAACTGCCTTTGTTAAAGTATTTATTATGAGTGTTCGCGGTCTGAATTGGATCAGTTTTGGAAACAAAAATCATCTGATCCAATCACTTCGGTTTGATCATGTAATCATCCATTCGGTTTGAATTTTTTTTCAAATCCGATCCGATCCAATCCAGTTTTTTTCGGTTTGGATTGGATCGGTTTTCGGTTTTTTGAAAATCCTAAAATTTGTTTCTTGATTATTGTGTAAATGACATCTTTTGTATATATTGGCTTTGTAATTTTTTTTTTGAAATACAAAAGCATTAAGAAATGATAATATAGTTTTTTTTTTTTTTTGACAATGAGATAGAAGCTCTTCATAGATGAAATTTTGTGCATGAGATGTGACTAAGCTTTTTCTTGGGTTTAAAAATTTTTGAGTTATGATTGGGGAAAAGTAGAAGGGAATTAACATATTGGATCGGTTTGGATTGGATCAGTTTTTATCAACCCGTCCGAAATCCAATCCAATCCAATTAAAATTTGCGGTTTTTTTTTGTTTTCGATTTTTCGATTTTCGGTTTATTCGGTTATCGATTTTTCGATTCGGTCACCGCAGTTTGAATCGGTTTGGATTGGTTGACGAACACTCCTAGTATTTATAAGGTTAGCTAGCTCTGAAGACCAGTCAAACTCTTATCTAAGTTTTAGGAAAATACAACTATATTGGACATCGATCTGTAGTGTCTTCTTTTTGGCTTAATTTTGTTTGGAATTACAGAGATATCCGGAATATTCCACGAATTTCGATAATAATATTCTTACAAAGTTATAATAGATGAAGAAAAAGAAGAAATTTTAGAGACAGAATATATCAACATTCAGATTTTTTTTCCTCATAAATCAAAATATTTTTTCTCTCTCAAATAATTCACTCACACTCAAGCATACTACAATCACTTTTGTTAAAGAAAAATGGAGTCAATCAATTTATTATTATAATCATTATAATAATAATGAAACCAATTAATTTTCCATTATTCTCTCAAATAGTCTTGTAGAGTTGTTGGGGAAATTAACGACTCATTCATCGTAAGCATGAAAAACCATGTGCTCAAGAATACTAAATAGTTAAATTTAAAGAACTCTTCAAAAAAATTTCATATAAGAAAAATAATAAAGACGAAGAGGGACAAACTTATATTACATTACATTACATTTTTTTAAATTTAAATGTAATTTAAAATAAAAATTTGATAACTTGAGGGGATCGCCCCTCTAAACCTTCCCTAACTCCATCAGTACTCAAGCTATATGGTGCAAGTAAAGGATCTATAGCTAATTAAATGGACTAACATATCTGCCTCTTTATTATAATGACACAAGATAACACTACAATCCATCAAAATTAAAAGCATAAAGGATAATGTCTTGTACAATGATATCATTTATATAAAAATTATGCGCACCATCCTATTTTATAACATAAATAGCTTTGACTTTTTATAAATATTTTCTTAAAAGTTAAGGAAAATAACACAAGGGGAAAAAAAATCTTTTCTATAGGTAATATTTTTTTAAAAGTAGATATTGTTGCTTAAACAATGAGTATTTTTTTTAAAAAAAGTAATTTTAACTAAGGCTTTAATGTTTCTAAAGTGAATGTAGATAAGTTATTTACATTTTCTTCCAAAAGAACGTCGTTTTGGGTTAAAAAATTAAAAAATAATAATAAAAAAAACTATTAAAACCCTGAAATAAATTATAATTATAAAAATATCTTGATTTCCGCCTCAAAACGACGTCGTTTTGAGCTCAATGCAGATAAGTTATCTACATTGGCCGTAGAAAAAGCGAACCCTTTAACTAATAATAGTTTACCAACTTTTTAAAATTGAGTTGAGGATATATTCTTTTTGAGACCAAGTAACCTCATATTAGGCTGGATTAATATTTTTAATAACTTACCAAACAATATTCCAAGAGCGAAGTAAGTGTAACACGTCATATATAACATAAAGGACACTTTTGCATTTGGTATGCAAATTCACATTATTGACTGGTTTTCTTGTAATCACAGCTGTGCATTCCTACTAAAATATGTCCACAAACCAAGCCCTCTATAGCTAATGATTAATCAATGATTTTAATTTTGGTTGATGATTAATCAATGATGAATGGATTAAAGGCACAATCAATCACACCAAATTTATAAACCCTACTATTCGAAAGTCGAAATTTTTATTCTTCAAAGCATGGTCAGTGATAAATAGATTAATCATAATGAGAGTAATTAATCACAATTATTTTTCATAAAATAGTCTTTCCACCATGTTATGTGTATTATTTAGTTTTTGGTACATCGTTATTTGCATTTTATGTAGCTGAAATCGAATATATTCATGGATGTATCACTAAAAAAAGAAGATACTCGTGGATCCCAAGGTCTTTTCTCCATGCAGTGAAATGCAACCGACCAACTTACTAGAAAAATAATATGGATCGTAATAAATAGCAATTAAAAATGAAAAGAGGAATACCTTAACATTGAAGCTTATTTGGGACATATTACCTTTTCTCTATATATTGAAGTTATTAGAATTTCAGTATAGAGGAAGAAAGAAAATAAAAGAAAATAAAAAAATTATAACAGCGTGAAAAAATGTGATGCAAAAGATAAAATAATAATATTTGTATTGAATAAGAATCTAAATTAAGAAAATAAATTATAAAATATAATTAGAAAAACATCCTAATAGACTTACAAATAATATGAGTGTGTTTTTATATAAATAAAGTAAAATCAAAGAGTACGTGTTCTTCACTTTTAGCCAATAGATATATCCAACAATTAATGATAGTTAAGACTCAACATATATAAATAAATAGAAATAATTAAATTTCATTTAGGCTATACAATAAATGATAACAAATAATATTTGACATATTTAATATAAATTAACATAATGAAATCCGAAAGATCTTAGTTTAACTTTTTCAGTATTATATTTATAAATTTTTTATTTACAAATTTTTATAAATTATATTTTGTCTAATCAGCCATACATATATAAAAAATTTATAAGCGAATTATTTCACAACAAAATAAATCAAATATATGAATAGAGTCCATAAAAGCATATGCTTTTCAGTCCACACTTAATAGACATATATGGCAGCTAACAACGATTATAAAAAGACATATAAGACAACTGGCATTTCCCGGTAACAGTAACTATCCAGCCGTTACTAGCGGAATTTGCGGAATTCTGTTACAGTCGAAAATAGTTACAACTGCCAAGCTATTTATCCTAACAAAGTCGTAACCTCCAAACGGTGCCAAACCCAAAGGGTAGAGAGAGAGAAAGAGAGAGAAAGAGAAGAGAGGGAAAACCAAACCCTAACTCTCCTTTCTCCTTTCTCCTTTCTCCTCTTTCCAATTTCTCCGGCGAAGATGTCAACGTTACCGGCGATGGCCACCGACGATGACGACATGCAAGAGATTATGTTCGCCAAGAGAAACTGCACCTGTTTCTGGATGCCGTGTTTCCCATCCGAAACGTCGCCGTCGTGGTGGGAGCGGGTGCAAACGCCGGAGAACAAGGAGCGGTGGTGGGCCCGAGGGTGGAAGAAGGTGAGGGAGTGGTCGGAGATCGTGGCGGGACCGAAGTGGAAGACCTTCATACGGCGTTTCAACAACAACAACAAGACTCGCGGCGTTTCCTACGTCAAGCACGGCTCCTTCAACTACGATCCGCTCAGCTACGCCCTCAACTTCGACGACGGTAGCGTCATCGGAGAAGAAGTTTACGGTTACGGCGGTTTCTCCGCGCGCTTCGCTTCCGTTCCGGCGTCGGCGAAGTCCTCCATGGACCTCGGGAAAGACGGCGCACCGACGTTCACGTGAGGATCGCGTGCCGCGTATAAGGGAAAAAGAGGAACAGATTGTGCGCCGTGTTGGCTAACGTGCACAGGTAGCGGAATGCGCACCGTTTCTTGATTAGGATGCCAGCGAGGTGGTGGTAGTGAAATGAATGGGCAATGGATAACAATACGTTGAATCTTTGTTCCTACTTCATTAGTGATTGAAATTAGTAGTTTTATATATATATATATATATATATATATATATATATATATATTTCATTTGATGTATATTCTGAAAAAAGGTTGCCGAAACAAGAATAATTCTCTGTGATGGCTGCTCTTGAAATTTCATTGAAATCTTTTTCAGTTAATGGGATTTGACGTCAAGAAAGTAGCAAAAGAAAGTTAAGGTAAGTGATGATTTTTTCTTTTTCTTTTTCTTTTTGAAAAAAATGGTAATTTCATTAAAAAATAGTATGAGTCTTAGAAAAAACGAGTGATTTTTTTAGTATTTTTTAATTGAATGAGTGCCTCTTGGCTTTTAAGTACGGCTTTTAATGTAAAGTATAAGATATCCTCGTTGTATTAGAAAAAAATTATTCTATCAACAATAAGTAGATCCCTAGAGTCATTTGAGAGGATATAAATATATAACTATGTGGTGATTTCTCCAGTATCTTTTATCTTTGGGTTTGATGTTTATCAGTAGGAGGGTTTGATGTTTACCAGTAGGAGGGTTTGATGTTTATCTACGCACATAAAAATATATATGTATGATACAGGGTATGGGGTTCAGGTTTGATGTTTATTAGTAGGAAATAACACACATTTAAAAATATATAGAATCTATGTGAAACATTTTTTATATACCCATAAAAGTGTATGGGACTTATGTGAGGTCAGGATCAGTGTAGGAGATAAAATTTTATCTTCTATATTAAAGACATAAGCTATGGTGCTACTCAATGTTGTTAAAATCGAGGAAGGGAACGTAAAAAAATCGTGAGAACGTAAAAAAATCGTAAGAACGTAAAAAATCGTAAGAACGTAAACAAGTAAACAAATCGTAAAAACGTAAAAGCGTTTGGAATATTAGTAAAATCGTTTTGATGAATTTTTTTTTGTAAAAACATAAAATCGTAGTGATAAATCGAGATTTTAACAACAATAGTGCTACTAGTACTCTTAATAATTAAACTATGAAAATGATATGATGAAAATGAATTATCTCATATTTTATTTAAGACCGTGTCATGTGGGAAAATTTTAACGACCCAAAGGTGAATCAATAGTGATGATTTTATAACTATATATATCATAATAATTTCTTTTCTCTTCCTTTATCACCATTGTTCGTGATATGATTCTATGGTAAATTTCATATTTATGGTGAGTTGTAAAGTATTTAATTGGTTGATTGTTTTATAATAAATGTTTAAGTAGCTGCTAATAGAATATTTGACAACTCATCTTGAGCACAAAATTCATCAGCAATAAATAAAATGGATACTGGAACCCTTTTAATAAATGAGACATACCTTTAAAAAAAAATGGTAATAAGAAAGAAAAGTCTCTTTACCATATATTGACATTTTTAATTTTTGTTTTGTTGTTGTTGTTCTTTCGAAGCTTATTCAGGTTCTTAGAATGATACTAACCGTGTGTAAACAAAAATGATACTAACTTTCATCTAAGATAATGTGATCGTTTCTCTTCACAAATTTCTCTAATGTGGGTTCAAACACATGACATTACATGGGCCTTTCTTCGCTAACTATTTTAAAAAATAAATCCTTAAATTGCTCTCAACTAAACGATCTTACCATTTGTTTGGTTCAGGAGATTCTATAATTTTGCTAGGAAAATGAACTTGGCAATCCAGCTTGCCTTCGTTTGGTACACAGGTTTGCAAAGTTGTCCATGTATCCCATTTGCATGGCATGTCTCCTTTTGGTCGATGAAAGATGGGTATTTGCACTGTTCAAAAAGCCAACTTGGACGTGGGTTTTTCCCTCGTTGTGTGGTCAGCAGCCCCCCACTTGGTTTTTTTGAAGAAAGAAGCTTGTCTTTGTAAAGTGAGGGTTAATTTTGTAAACTCGCACACATTTTCCTATCTATATATTACTTACACCCAAGCATAGACTTTACAAAAATTACCTAATTTTCCCAGTAAATTTTTTTCCCACCAAACAACTTTGTTTTACATTTTCCTATCTATCTCACTTTCTTACCATTTTCCTATTAATTACATTTACCTAGTATTCAAAAAATTTCTCCTTAACCAAACGCCGCGTTATAGTTAAGTTAGACCTTAAGCTAGAATGTGCCGTTGGAGAGAAAGGAAAAAATAGCATGGGATAAAGGAGAAAAAAGGAAATAGAAAGAAAAATAACAAAGTTAGCCTAGGAGAACGCACAAAGAGGAGAGCAACTTTGAAAATGTTGGTTGACTATTAGCAGTTGATGGTGCCATGACAGCAAAGTGGGAATGGGAACACCATCCCAAATTAATTGTGTTACAAATAATTCCTTGAATGATGGGAACATATAGTTGGGAAGTACATAGCACTAACACAATAGTTATGGGTTTGATGCGTGTATGTGAAGTTAACCTTATTTATGGGTTTGGGTGTCGTGAGAATTCATCATAGAGCTACTTGATCGTGGATCCATTTATACCCAAAAAAAAAAAGTGCTATCCACTTTCCCTTTCTTCTTTTTCAACATTCTCTTCTTTTCCAACCCATCATCTCCAATTCTCCACCATTCTTTTTTAGTCAAATATTCCATCAATTTTGTCTTCTTTTTCTTTTCTTTTTTCTCCAAGCCTATCATTTTAATCACCAACGTTCACCCATTTTGTCTTTTTTCCCCCTGTTTGTACTACTGTTATGGTCATTAATTAGAGTCAACCACCCACTAGGAAGCGTGTTAAGGTAACATTTGCATAAATTTTTGTTGTGAAAAAGGTACGTAGTAATAATACTACTTATATAACAAATATTTACAACTACTTATCTATTTGATGCCTTCTTGTGATTTATTTATTTAAATCAGGTCTTGTTTAATGAATGTAAGAATAATCGATTTAATAAAATTATAAAAGCTTGAGTTTGTATGTATGCTAATTTTAGAGTTTTTAGAGTGAAATTGTATGGGAGGTTAGTCTTTTATTTTTTTTTAAATGTGATGAGAGTTTTCATTTGATTATTAGATAATGTTATCATTCAAAGTTTTAAACATACCAATTAATGATCAGATTCTAAGAACAAAGGTAGATTCCTAGTCTTAAATTTGTGTTGAGACTTTCACGTGAAATGCGCTTCAAGCTATTTTAACAATTTAATTTTTTATATTTCTCTATTATAAAAAGTGCCATATGTATATATATATATATATATATATATATATATATATATATATATATATATATATAGGGGTTTAGTGGATGTAAAGTGACTGCACCTAAGGATTAGTGCAGTCATATAAAACTAAGTCATTTTATAATGTAAAAACATTAAATATGGAAAATAATAATCATACAAATGTGAAAATAAATATAAAACATTAAATATGGGGAATCATAACCATGCAAAGTTGGAAATAAATATAATATTTTTATTTTCTGCAATTAATTTTAAATGCGAACTTTCTTTATCCCACCCAAAACGACGTAGTTTTTAGGTGACTGCACCAATGCTTATACACAGTCACATTACAAATCATTTTGCCTATATATATATATATATATATATATATATATATATATATATATGGGTTCATTTTTTCTGCAGTTAATGCAGATAAATTATCTACATTGAGCCCAAATCGACGTCAATTTGGGACGAAAATCAAAGTATTTTTGTAATTTTAATTTATTTCAGGTTATAATAGTCTTTATAATTATAAATTTTAATATTTCAACACCAAAACGACGTCGTTTTGAGAGTAAATGCAGATAATTTATCTGCATTAACTGCAGAAACATTTTTCTGCATATATATATATGAGAAAAATATTTCTCAAACTGTTTAAGATATATTTATTTCCGTTCACCCCCAAACTACGTCGTTTTATTTATTTCCTTATATTAATTGATTTACCTTTGAATGATTATGATTCCTTTTTTCCCTCTCTTCCTTAATCACCATTGATCCATCTTTGTACGATTATGATTTAGTAGCCGGAGATAAAGTTATCTCAAGCAGCTTGAAAAATGATTCCGTTCATCAACGAACTAAGATGAGGAGTAAGACTTAAAGGTCTTACTCTGGAGTCAAAAGAACCCTCCCCATATATGGAAAAAACATCTATCCTTTTAAAGGATATAAACTTATATCATTTTAGATCCTAACCGTTTATTTCCGTCCATCAACGGTTATAATTAATTAATTAATAATTTTGATCCAATAAATTATAACTGTTGATATACGGAAATCAACGGTTAAGATCTAAAATGATATAAGTTTATATCCTTTAAAATGATAGATGTTATTCCTTTTATATATATATATATATATATATATATATATATATATATATATATATATGGTTCGCTTATTCTACAGTCACTGCATATAAGTTATCTGCAGTAAGCTCAATACGACGTCGTTTTGGGGTGGAAATCATGGTGTTTTTGTAATTTTAATTTATTTAAGGGTTATTGTAGTCTTTATAATTATAATTTTTTAATCTTTCAATCCAAAACGACGTCGTTTTGATAGTAAATGCAGATAACTTATATGTAGTAACTGCATAAATATTTTTCTGATATATATATAAATAGGATCACATTACTAAAAAATTATATGCAGTAATTTTTTTCTGATATATATAAATGGTAGTAAATGCAGATAACTTATATGCAATAATGTTTTCTGATATATATATATATATATATATATATATATATATGCAGTAATGACTCACATTACTAAAAACATTAGAGCTCTTAAATATAAATAGGATCAACAATCAATATTGAAAGTGTAACTTACACTGTTATAAAATGATTCTAACCCTATATATATATATATATATATATATATATATATATATATATATATATATATATATCGAGTTTATTGTTTGTCAAGTCACTGGATATAATATTTTGTTCTGTCACATAAAAATTACGTTGTTTTGTGTGGGAGAAAAAAATTTGTGTCGTTCACGTTCAAAATTAATTGTAGAAAAGGTTCATTTTTTCCGTAGTTACTGCAGATAAGTTATCTGTAGTAAGCCCAATACGACATCGTTTTGGGGCAGAAATCATGGTATTTTTGTAATTTTAATTTATTTTAGAATTATTTTAGTCTTTATAATTATAATTTTTCAATTTTTCAATCCCAAAACGACGTCGTTTTGGGAGTAAATAGTAATACAGATAACTTATCAGCAATAACTGCAGAAATATTTTTCTGTTGTAGAAAATCAGAATATTATATTTATTTTCATATATTAGTATTACCATCAATTCCCTCATTTATGGAAATCAATCAATTTCTCTCTCTCTTCCTTTATTATCATTGATCCATCTTTGTATGGTTATGATTCTTACATTTAATGCTGTCAAAATTAATTGTATAAAATCAAAATATTATATTATTTCCATATATTATTTATACCATGAATTCCTTTATTTATGGGAATCGAACAATTTTTTCCTTTTTCTTTATCATCATTTATCCAACTTTGTACTGTTATGATTTCTCATATTTAATGCTTTCAAAATTAATTGTAGAAAATCAAAATATTATATTTATTTCCATGTATTAGTTGTACCATCAATTCCCTTATTTATGAGAATCAGTTAATTTTTTTCTCTCCTCCTACGATCCATCTTTGTATGATTATGATTTTCTACATTTAATGTTTTTACTCACTAAAACGACATACTTTTTAGCTGACAAAACAAAATTTTATATCATGTGATTGGACACCAGATGAGTCCATATAATATTTCTCAAGCTACTCGAGATATATTTATATCTAGTTATCCTAAAACTACGTCGTTTTGTTTATTTATTTTCTTATAATAATTGACTCACCTTTGAATGGTTATGATTTTCTTTTTTTCTCTCTTCCTTTATCACCATTGATTTATCTTTATTTTGTTATGATCTAATGGCTGGAGATAAAGTTATCTCAAGCAGCTTGAGAAACGATAAGCCCTATATATATGAGAAAAATATTTTCTGCAGTTACTCCAGATAAGTTATATGTATTTATTCTCAAAACGACGTCGTTTTGCTATTGAAATCTTAAAAAATTATAAATACAAAGACTATTATAACCCTCAAATAAATTAAAATTACAAAAATACCATGATTTCCGCTTTAAAACCACATCGTATTAGGCTTACTGCAGATAACTTATCTACAGTAACTGCATAAAAAGCAACCCTATATATATATATGAAAAAATATTTCTCTAGTCACTGAAGATAAAATTTTCTCCAGTGAGCTCAAAATGACTTCGCGTCGGGGTCATAAGATTAAAAAATTATAACGATAAAGACTAATATAACCTTGCAATATATTAAAATTATAAAGATATCTTAATTTCTGTCTCAAAATGATATCTTTTTTAGGCTCACCGGAGATAACTTATCTCCATTGACTTGAGAAATCATATATATATATATATATATATATATATATATATATATATATATATATATGAACATGATTAATTTATACCAATGTAAAAATAATAAGTCTTACACTCAATTTTAACTGTTAATTTTCGTCCAACTGTAATTAAATATATATTGTATTTTTTGAATATATTACTTAATACTAGAGTTGTCAAAACGGGCTCGGCTCGACGGGCCAACCCGCCCCGCTCGCTAAACAGGGCGAGACAGATTGAGTTTTTCAACTCATCTAAAAAGCAGGGTGGGGCGGGACAGGCTCATTTTTTGGCGGTTTGATGACGGGCTCAGGGGGCCGAGGCGGGTCAGTGTAATATAGGCTCGGGCAGGCAGACCAACCCGCCCAACCTACCAAACGGGGCGGGATGGGGACTTGCTCATTTTTTGGAGGTGTTCCGGATGGCCCAACAGCAGTGGCCCAAAGGTCCAAGCCCCATCATAACTCTCTATCCACGTCAGCCCTACCAACTGGCAACCCTCCCCAACTCCCAATGAAGCGACACTGCCTAGGGGAGACACCAAAATGTCCCATCTCGGGACCCCAACCTCCAAAGGCAGTCACCCCTGATGCCATAAGAGGGAACTGCCCCTTTGACATACGCTGACACCGCCAGGCACATCGCTGCTATCATAGCAGCGCCTGTCACGCCCAATAGCATCTGCTATTATAAGCAGATCCCAAGAAGAGTTGACCCCTTCCTCACCAACCCATAGGAGGCTCATACGACCTCCTTATAAATAGCCATCTTTGGCACACCAAAGAGGCATCTTATGTATCGTTATTATGTCCATTTTATATTAAGTCACATATACTCACACTAAATCATCCATTGTTATCTTCTTGCCATCATACTTGGTACAGTGTTCTCTAGCTTGGTCTTTACCTCTGCTAGTGGCACCATCCATACAGTGATATTATCCACAAGGGGAACATAGTGGGCTTATAGATCTCTACGGTACAGGAGGGGTGGGGCGGGACGGGCAGTCCACTTTGCCACCTCTACTTAATACTAGTTTTTGGTGAAAAAATGCCATAAACCATTTCCAATATAATCTCTTACGAAACCACTCCCAAAACCATAAAATGTGCATGGTAATAATTTACAAGTATTAATGTTTTTCATGTAATAATCTCTTACATATACATAAAATATGTGAGACCTATATAAGGTTATATGAGGAGAAGAGAAAAAAAAAATCTCATATATTTATATGTATGTAAAAGATACCATTTGTCTCCTAAAATATTATTCCCTAATTTACGCGCTTATAATGATGATAACTTTATAAAAAAAACTTTTATTTTTTTATCCGTGGGGTATAGAAAATGTTTCCCTTCAAATGATGAGAACTTCAAAAAATATATGCAATAAGAAACACATTATGCATGGTAATAATTTACGCGCTGGCAGAGCGTGAACTAAAATTTGTGAGGCAGCTCGTTGACAATATCTAACAACAGCATGAACAGTTGTACTCTGACTGCACTACTTTGGATCCAACTAACAAATGGTAGCCCCACCATTCACACATACTCACTTCTCTCTTCATCTGAATACGAGAGTGGATTTTTTTTTTTTTTTTTATAACAAGAGTGGATTTTTTTATATAAAAATTCATCATGTTATTTGATCATAACTATTTATTTAAAATTTATATATATATTTTTTATCTTATTATTAATGAGTGATTGTGATCAAATAATATGATCACATGATTACTTTTTCACATAAAAAAATCCATTCCATCTGAATATGAATATGTACTCATCCATCATATTAATGTACGTTGTTACCTTCTTGATGAGCGTGTATTTGTCTAGCATTTATTTCTTTTTTAACTTTCTTTTATTGGGTTTAGTGTTGTTTTCTGATTTAATTAATACATTGAGATTGAAAACATTATCATTTCACATGAGAGGAGACTTTTTTGGAAGTTGGGCTACACGCTATCAATATATTCCACCCACCTATTTACAAATATATATATATATATATATATATATATATATATATCCACCCACCATCCTCTTAAACAAGTTAGGATTTTAAGCTACAATAACAAGAAAGAATATGCCACCACAAGCAATCCAAACATAAAAGGGTATTACTAATAATTAAAAAAAGTATTACTAATAACTAAAATTGAGGTTAGGATAATTTTATATCAGTATAAGTTACATTCTTAATCTTGATCGCTGATCTTATTTATATCTAATAATTTTGATTTATCTAACATTTGAATCGTTAGATACAAATAAATCAATAATTCAAATTTTATTTAAAATTTCTAATTCTTACACCGATATAAAAATATTGTCCTATAAAATTCATATGAATTTCCTCTCTTCTGATTTGATACAATTTGTTTATGTGCCTCTTAGATTACCATTTCACCCTTTTAGTGTTTTTTTTCCTACCTATTTCCCCCCTTTATACTAATACTTTTCTTTGCAAGGTTTATCAGCATACTATCCTTTACTATTTCCATTTCATCTAGTGTCCCATATTACATCAAGCTAACATTATTTGAACTTAGGCTTTGGGATATATAGACAATAGCAACAAATGAAAATGTGATTTACTACATAGACACTGCATCATTTTTTGTACATCATTCTTTGTACCTTACCTTTAACCTATTTTAAACGTAATTAAGATTCAATTTTGGTTTGTAGAGCCACATATGTATTTAGGTACTTAAAATGTGAGTAAGACACTACTGCATACACCCCAAAAGGAAAAATAAAACACCAATTGTCTTGTGTGCTATTGGATGGTTGATAGTCTATCAAATCATTGGTCTAGAAAACCCTAAAAAGCTGGGTTTGTTTGCAAGTAGTTCTAAAAATGCAAAAATTCAAGATCTTTTTTCTTCTTCAACTAATATTCCAAGTCAATTTTGGGACTAGTTGATTGACATAAGATAAATCTGTCTTTGATTTCAGCATGGACACATGGGAGGTGTAAAGTGGCCCCCACATGACTGCATCTACAGCCAATTTTTGAATCAAAATTCATCACATGATGGATAGGTTCTGTCATACCAGTTTTCATGGATCCCACCATCACTGCCCAACTGCCCAGCCTAAAAAGTTTGCACTCACACACTCCCAAAAAGTATGTGCAACAAACAAAGTAAAGAAGATTAAACAAAACCAAAAGCCTCAAAAAGCAAAGAAAGCAAACACACTTGCCACTAGCCATGATGGAATTAGACATACTGATGCTAAGATAACATTGACACAGGAAGAGACAAGTCTGGCTTTGAAACAGGCTTGGCTCCACAACCAAATTCAATGAGTAAAATGGTAAAATTTGTAGGACTAGGGTGTTAATAAATCTAGCAAGGATTTGTTGATGTTCGCACATTGCATAACCAAATAAGATAGAACAAAATTTGTTATCAAAAATCCAATTTCATCATACAACCTACCTAGTTAGGATATCTGTTTGAAGAAAGAAGGGGATGTATTTCTTATATCTTCTTAACGTAGAATCATAATACATCAATATCATGCCACAATCAGTCATCACAATTTCAAAATTAGCACACCAAAATTTTTTGGAATTCTAAGGCAAGGGAAGCTCTAACCAATGGATTAAAATGAATTTAAGTGAAAGAATAATAATCTGGATACCTTTCATGCCCCTTCTGTTCCCCTCTTCCCTTGCAAATCTGTATTAAGGTAAGATGGCATGCCAATTTGAGCCTCCAAAGAGCTAGAAAATTTTCCCTTCTTCGGCCACAGCCAGATTTTGGACACAGAAAAGCTGTCACCTTTACTCACACTTCTAATCTTCTTTGCTTCCATATCCCCCTCCAGTGAAAGCTTCTCGCCATGTTCAGTTTCTTTAGTGAGCCTTGTATTGTGATCTTTGTGGTCATGGTTCAAGGTTACCCTGAGGTCTGAATTGCCAACCACATACTGGTAAGATCCCAATGAGTAACATCTTCTTGCATCCAAATTACTGCTACTTGTTTCTCCTACTCCAATCTCCACATCCTCCACATTCAGCTTTTTGAATTTACCAAGCCTCACAGGGACAACTCCTTTATCTACAGTGTCTTCAACCATAACTGTTTTTTGTCTAGTAGTGAATCCATTTTCCACATTACATGGGCATCCATCATCTTCCCTCAGATCATCAAAATCAAATATCGGGTTTTCAACAGAAAATTCAGGAGTAAGGAGGGTTCCTCTACAAAGGGGGCATGTGGAGTTTGACAAAAGCCAAGTGTCTATACAACTGATATGAAAAGCATGGCTGCACATAGGTAGCAACCTCAGCTTATCCTTTTCAGAAAACTCACACAGGCAAACAGCACAATCAAATGGCTCTTTCAGACCCACAATCTCTTTGTACAGAAAAACAGGAAGTGCATCAATGAAAGCTTGATCCAGACCTGAGTCATGGAGATGGAAGAGCTGTTGCAGCTGTCTTTGGAGAGCATCAGAGGTAGAAATTTCATGGTGTCTATTAGATTGAGCAGATGCAGAAGAAGATGGGTGCTTCATGAGAAATCTAACAAGCAGGTGGAGGAGACCAGAAATGAAAAACAGAACAGCAAGAATCACTATAATGAAAAGAACAGCTGGACTAATCCTAGTACTAGATGATGAAGGTGGTGGTGTTGTTGAAGAAGAAGACATTGGTTCCTTGTGAAAACCAGCACCAGGGTATGGGGATGAAGATGAAGACAAAACCGGTGGTGGGTAGCTCAAGTAACCATCTTTTTGCTGAATTTGATGCTGAATCCAAGCCATCTTCAAATGGGTATGGTCAAAAAACCACCTAGGATACATGTTTTCTGACATTCCACAGAACACAAAAGCATACCCATAAAAATATGTTCCTCAATCAACACAATCCTAGTCACATCTTAACACTTACATAGAACAAAATCCCCCCAAAATCTCAGCTTTTTACACTCAACTCTCAGACAGAAAATATATGCTCTACAATATTTGTTGTTTTGGCACAATATGTTGAACTCAACTCACCTAACTTGTTCATGGGTAGTTCACCATTTTGGTGTTTTCTTCTCTTGAAGTTTTGAAAATGAGCCTCTTATGTTTTTCTTCAAAGGCTTTTTTTTCAAGGTACCAGAAACAAAAAAAATTCCTATCTTGAGTGGGAAGAGAAAAGTGAAATGTGAACACTTTCCTCTCTCTCTCTCTCTCTCTCTGTTTCTCTCTCTCTATCTTTGTGATCCAAACTTGCCAAGTTGCTTTGAGGTTAGAAGGAAAGAATCCAATTCCAAAGAGTGAAAGAAGAACCTGTTCCCAAAGTTGGAGGTAAGGGATGACAAAAAAGAAACATGAAAAAATCTTAATCCCACTCGCTATAATGGCGCGTGCAAGTGATTTAAATTCCGCATGGGGAGTGTGACATGTTATTTTGGGTTCAGTATTTAGGATTTGTCTCCTTTGACTTTATCGAGTTGAGGGATTATTTTTTTTATTAAATATATTCATTTGCTACTAATACTGTTATTTAGTGTCTCAAAATTTAAATTTATAAATGTTTAGTCTTTTTTATCTATCTCCATCTTAAGACCTTTAACAGAACGTTAACACATAATTAATGTGGGTTGAAAAAAAGGCTCTGTTTTTGAATTCTGCTAGTGATCCTACGTTGGTAGGTCATGTGTCACACATTAAATTTGAGAGCTGTGAGTAATTTCACATTAAGTTAAACTATATTATTATTAATTAGGGAAAATATTTTTTTATGTTGTAAGAAAGTTGTTCTTTCTTACTTGTGACTCTTTAATTTTTGTACAATATTTTTTTAATAGATAAGAGTCTCACATAAAATGTATCTATAGCATAAGATATTTATTTCTTATTGCATAAGAAAATCAAAACCCTATTAACTATTTACTTAAGAAAATCCCAAAAGGGAAATGAGGTTGACTCAAATCCTAGTGTGTCAACTAAATGGTTTTAAAATATGATTCTTATTAATGATTTTTTATTTGTAGGTTACATGTTATTGTCGTTGTAAACCCAAATTAAGGATTGTGACATGTCTATTATTAATCGTGTGTTTATAAGATGCTATCCTTATTTACTTATTAGTCAAAAGAATGGTAGAAACAAGAAAAAGGGGATGCCTTTCAAGTTGTCATTGTGAATTGCCTTATGTTAAGTTTGGTAGGAAATATGTGAAATTGTATACTTTTCTCTAAATTTGGGTTGAAATCTAAATCTCTATAAGATTTATTGAATGATTCTATTTAGGATGTTACTTACAAGAATGGGTTACTTGGATATGCCTTTAGGATGAAATAGTGCCTCTTTATGTGAATTCTTAGCAAGTTGGATAAAGACTTTTTAAGGCAATTACAAATATAGAAGGTGGATCCTATCATAGCAAGTAAGCTAACCACCATTCGTAATGCTACCAAAAGTTTGATCATCTATAATTGTTGCTTTCGTACTATGTACATGTGCCTGTTACAGATTGAATTATTCCTGTTACTTTCACTTAAACAGTTTTAACATTTTGATTATGTCCTTAATAATAACCTATGTACAAGTAAAAAAGCTAAAAGAAGGTTAGTTCCTATAGTCATTGATAGTTGAGAAGAGGCATGCACTTGATGGGCTGGGCTAGTGTGTGGATAAGGCCATAACCAAAATCATACTAAATTTAGCTAAAATTCTCTTAAGTCTTAAAGATCCATCAAATTGAAGACAGAGAGATATATGGTCCTAGCAATTGAAAAGCCCAGTGGGATCATGCTTCATAAATCAAGGGTTTTTCTTCTTTATCTTTTATATTTTGTTAATCATTTGGTTCATACTTGGTTTGGGCTCTGGGAATATTTGACACATTTTGTAGACAGCTGAAGCAAACTCACCATTCTTATTCTTTTCTATTTCCATCCTCTGATATTTAGGTACATGTCAAATATATCCTTAACAACTGAAAGAACCCAGTAAGTCAAGTCCATCCAACGAAGTATTTCAAGTAGAATAGCACCAAAACCATATACATAAGGACCGTAACCATGATACCGTACATACACATGGCTTCATATTCTTATTCTGCAAAATGTAGTTGGATTTCAAGTTACCACTAACCATGCATAAAACCATGTTTGCAAAGCTCTTGATGCATGAAAGCTAATGCCCTAGCAACTATAGCTGCTATTGCAATTTACCAAATAGGTTCCCAGTTAAAGGCTTTTGAAGTACTTAGAAAACACATCTAGTCTTTAATACAGGTTGTGTTCCGGATGGCCCAATAACTCAATAGCCCAAAGGTCAGGGCCCAACCTCAACCCAACATCCACGTCAGCCGTACTAGTTGGGATGATACCCCAACTCCCAACAGGGCGACTTTCCCAAGAGGAAGCACCAAAATGTCCTACCTTGGGACCATAACCCCCAAAGGCATTCGCCCCAGATGCCATAAGGAAAAACTGCCTCCTTTGCCCCACGCTGACACCACCGGGTACAGAGGGAGCAGCGCTGCTACAACAGCAGCGCCTGCCATGCTCAATACTGCCACCGATAGTGAATCCCAAGGAGGGTTGACTCCCTTCTCACCAACTCACACCAGGTGCACACCACCCTCCCTTATAAATAGCCCCATGGGCACACCATGAAGGGATTATGTATCGTTATTCTGCTTATTTGCTTTGAGTCATATTATTACTTACTTATTCATTGTTGATTGTTTGCTTATACTTGGCAAAGTACCTCTTAACTTGGTTTGTACCTTTGCTAAGGGTATTATCCATATAGTGACTCATCCCTGAAGGGAACATAGTGGGCTTATAGATCCCAACGGTACATGTTGGTTTATACCAAGTTTATAGGCATCATGCTGGTGAACTGCTGTACTATTTAGGAGATTGTAAGCATGAAATTTACAAAATCAGGTACCATTTTTTTTTTGTTGATTAAAGAAAGCATAAAATATATGAAATAAAAGAAAAACACAGTTTTTCCTTTAGAAGCTTAAATAAAGTTTCGTTATGCTGATCTTCATAGACTAAAAGTTCACCATGTTTAGAACAATAGAAAACAAGAGGTGACAGTACTAATAAGTGCTTCACTAGGCTCAGCATTTGGTCATGAAAGTTCTGGATATTAAGAAAGCTGTTTGCAATGAAATGGCCATGCACATGTTGAATGTGGCCACTGAAATTGTTAGAAACATTGAGCTGGTCAAAATTGGAGAAATCAGAAGTTATTATTGTATTGGGCAACGAGCATATCATCCTTGAGATTCAGGACAAGTCTAATCAAGTCTTGTCAAATTACTAATGCAAGCAATTAAACTAAGTCAAGGTTTTCCCTTGCAAGCTAGTGAGATATTTGCAGTTTTCAATCTCATGCTATTTTTCCACCAAAGTTGCTGCTATCAAGAATAAGAATGATAAATAAAAGATGCTCCTATATAAAAATAAGGGTTTTATAAGAGTTATGTTGTAGGAAAAGTGATTGTGTTATGTTATAGAGATTCGTTTTGCGTGCCGAAGTTTTTTTTTTTTTTTTGCTGCGGGCCCCACAAAATGTTGTGTGTGTAGGAAAATTTTTGTGGTCATGTTAAATGATAGATGATAAACCCTAAAAATAAAAACACTAACAAAATCAGATAACACAAAGAAAGCAAAAAGCTTAAAAGCTGGAACAAGCAAACATGCTGGGCCTACAGTTTGTTGGCTCCTACTAAACTTGTTTGCCTCGCTACAAACATGAAGAGTCACTAGAAAATATGGTTATAATATAGTTATATTAAAATCCAAAATAGTGAAAACCATTAACTTTATATGCCTTAGCTTTCAAATGTAAAGAGTTAATGGTATTTAAAGGTAAAATTTGTAGTTAGAAATATGGTAAAGATTATATTTAAAAAAATTTTGTTTATAAATTATACTATACACTCCACGGAGTATTAAGAGTGTACTCTCCGAAGTATATAGTATAGTTTATAAATATAACCCTACCATAAAAATATTATTCTATAACATTTCACATGTTTCCAATTAAAGTAGGGAGGAGAACAAGGAACCCTAACCTTTAATTAGTAATTTTTATTTCCCTTTGTATTATATGTGTAATTTTATTAATTTCTCTATCACTTTTTGTTTGCTTAAATAGATTTTATTAGATAATTAATTAGTAGTTGATAATTAGTTAAGCCGTTATCCCAATGAGAATCATACTATACTTCCACGTTATTAGTTGCGTAACCCTTTATATTTGTGTAACCAACACACCACAAAATTGTGGTAAAGAAAGAAATTTAAGGATTTATAAAGTCTAGGTTGACATTTTAGCCTTTGATTTTCCCTTGAAGCATCCCTCTTTTTTAAAAGGAAGATAACTTAAGAGATCCTTGATCCGTGGATGCCACCGAACTTACATATTTTCTTACATTTTAATTATTATATACTTGTTAGTAGTTTGTCATAAATATATCTAGGGTATAAATGGACCAGACTAGCCTGGCCTACAGCCCGGCCTATATTGAGCCTGGCCTAACCCGACCTACGTTGAAACTTAGAGTAAACTTAGGCTTATAAGAAAATCTTTTTAACAAGTAGGCTATAGGTCAATTTTGTCGAGCCTAGCCTAAAGCCTTGTAGGCTGGTTTATTTAATTTTTTAAAATAATATAATATAATATATTTATTTTAGGGTATATGATATACATTATAGAACTAGGATATTATGTTGATTCTTTCTTGTTTGTAATTTTTTATGAATTATGAGAAGTACTAATGCATGCATGATTGAAACTTTGCTCAGTATATTTTTATAGTTATTTTTTTTACTATTGTAAAATTTTTAATGCTCACTCGTGAAATTTATATCTCGTGTAAAAAAATGCAGCAATTTCTGAACGCGTTAATGACTTGTAATGTCAAGCGAATATTTTAAAAATTGTTAAAAATATTTTTAAAATTTTAAAAATATTTCACTAGGAAGGCCTACGGGTCATATAAGGCTCTTTAATTTTTAAAAATAGGCCAGATTTAGTCTATAAATAAAGCCTTTAGTAAACCAATAGGCCAGATAAGTTGAATATTTTTTTACGTAAGCTTAGGTCAGAAAGGTCAAAGCCCAGTCCAGCCTGTCCATTTACACCCTTATTTATATAACAAACACATTAGTCTTGTTTAAGATACATATTACTTTAACAAAAAAATTTCATATTAATTATAATTATCTCTTTGAGGTGAGAAAAACACAAACTATAAATCACTTGATTTATTTGAATATTATAAACACTGTGGACTAAGGTTGTTCTATTACTTTTGGACCCTGGGTCAATGGTAATATGAAAAAAAAAAAATTACATGACATTATAATAGAAGTATAAGACAGACTAAAATTATTTTTAATGTGATATCACAAAACCAATTATTTAAAAGGGTGAATTTTTTATTTTAGAGATATTCCAATTGGTTCATCACTTCGTATCTTATTTGATTCGAGGCTGGTCTTGGGATTAAAACTTTAACCCTTTATAAAAAACGGTATTAGAGAGGATCAAACATATATTCTCACTTTCATTTGTTCAATTTCTTGACACTAACTGAACTACCATCATTTAATAATAAATGATTAAATTATTAAGCGAAGCAACCGTGAAAAATGGACGAAAAGAAAAATATTTGTCCTTTTAAATAACATAATTTATGTCATTTCACTCTTATAAAAAAGTGAGACCCACACTTTTATTTTTTTTTGTCCACTCTTTCTTCTCTATAATTTATCTATTTCTTTTAATTAAAATAATACAACTTTATATCATCTAAAATGACATACATTTTCCCCAATTTTAGAACATTTTTGCAGTTGTGCCTGCTTAATCATTTTCCAATTAATACCATACATCACGAATGACGTCTAATACATTAGAATAACAATTGTGTCACTCATGATGATTGCTCAGAAGATTCTTTTCACATTACATTTTCAATCTTTTAAACTTTTATTTAAAACAAACGATTCCATTTTTTTTTTTTTTTTGGTAATCACCATTCTCTTTTATTATTAGCTAAAGAAATGAAAAACAAAACTATTTATGATATTTTATTGATTTTAATAAATCTGATATTATAGAAAATAATTTTTATCTCCTGTATATATAAAAATATATGAGACCCATATTTTTTCTTTCTTTTTTCTTCTTACACGAGCTCATGTGGTCCTTATACATTGGTATATATATATATATATATATATATATATATATATATATATATATATAAAAGATAAATTATTTCATATAATATGAGAATAATTAAATCCTATTTTTATTTTTCTTAGTAAACTAAACTAAACAAATAATATTTTATTTTGTCATGTTGTGTCACTTGTTCACAAAGAGACAAAAGTTGTTAACATGGTGTACAAAAAGAAAAATAGAGATATGATATTATTAATATTAATTAATGTTATTATTAATATCATTATTGATTTATTTTATCATTAGATCGATTATGTTGATTCAGGAATTATATTTCTTCATATTTAATATTTTCACATTAAATATAGAAAATCATAACTTTAAACATAAGGAATCATAATTATATACAGGAAGAAATAAATGTAACGGTTGGATCAATATAATCGATCTATAAGTGAAATAAATTGATAGTGACATTGGTAATAACACTAATTGATAGTAATCATATCCTATCACCAAAAAGTATATGCTAAACTTAAAATAATTTTACCAAAAACTCCTTCAAAATATTTTTTTAAAATAAATAAATAAAAATAAATTATTTTTAATTTAATTTAAAATTATCATTTAATAAATAAATTCATATAATATAACTTTTTAGATTAGCAGCTTTAACTTTGATATTGCAGTTGACAATCCACAGGAACATCATTGTAACTTAGGAGAGACTACAAAACAGATCCCTGAACTGAACAATAATAAGGTCTGTGTTCTGTGAGACCAAAAAATTGAATTCACATAAGGATATGGCAAGAAGATGGTCCTTTTACAAGGATTTGCTTCCTGTGGTTGTGATTATAGGCAACGAATGCAATGACATGGGTTTACTCACTCTTTTCAAAGCAGCTACCTTGCAAGGGATGAACAACCATGTCTTTGTTGCTTATGCTTATGCTGTTGCTACTATCATACTCCTTCCTGTTACTATTTTCCATCGAAGGTTGTCCCTTAATTCTAACTGTGCAGTTAGTTAGTTTACAATTGTAATGATTCCTTCATGTTTTTTTTTTTTTTTTTTCATGTCTCTTTGCAGGTCAAGAGTGGCTCCTCCACTCAGTTTCTCCATAATATCCAAAATTGTTCTTCTTGGGGTGATAGGGTAAAGGCACTTACTTCCCTTGATTTTTAGACCACAATTGTTGAGGCTTTGTAGTATGAGTTTTCTGAGTTAGTGTTGATGTTAATTATTAGGGTCTTATATTTTCTGATAATTTATGTCTCTTGTTTTGGAACTTGTTGCCCTTGTTTGTGTTGCAGAAGTTCAGCTCAGATGCTAGCATATGCTGGCACTAGTTACAGTTCTCCAACACTTGCTTCATCAATTGGTAATCTGGTACCTGCTTTCACCTTTATACTTGCCGTCACTTTCAGGTTCACTCCCCTTTTGTTGATTATATTTGACAAATTCTTACTTATTTAAGCTAAGTTTTTTAAATTTCTTTTTCCTATTTGAGGAAATTACTTGCAACATAAATATTTAGCAATAATTTCGAACCTGTTTTTATATATTTACTTTTCGTGAACGCAACGCAATATCTTAAAAAAGCACACACACACTTGATGTGAAAAGGGGCATGACCTTTCAGAACTCCACTACTTAAATTTAATCAATCTTTTTTAGATTAATGGTATATTCCTAAGATTTAAGAGAAGTTAACTAAGAATCAAGATGTTAATTACTGTTCATCTCATAAGTAAGCAACTATACATTTCATTTACATTCAAACTGTTGTTTCTTTGGTGGACAAAATTCTACTCTTTGACACAATTCACTAGTTCTCAATGAGATTTTTCAAGGAATTGGTTTTAAACTACTGGTTTAGAGTGCTTAATATTAAAGACTATGAATATCTCTGTCTATTGTCCACTTATTTTTGTTTTCTCTTATACTCTTGCCACTGAAATTAAGGATGGAAAAAATAGCTGCAAAAAGTAGAAGTAGTCAAGCTAAGGTAATGGGAAGCATAATATCAATAGCAGGTGCATTTGTACTGACTTTCTATAAGGGCCCATCAATCATCAATGGTCATTACCATCTTCCCTCACCACTTCAACAACAACTAATTAACATTCTTAATTCTGAGGATGCAAGTTGGGTCATTGCTGGCATTCTGCTGATAGCTGCATATGTACTGACTTCACTATGGTACATTGTACAGGTAGGTTAGGAATTGTCTTAAAGTAAGAGGTATACTTATAGAAATTAAAGAGTTTAATTGATAACCAATATAGAAACATGAACAGTTTAGAATTTATAAAATAGAAGCTGTTAAGAACCATTTCAACCTAAAACCTTAAGGTGTTGGGTGAAGGTCTTTTTAATGATTTATATTATTCTCTAACACACCCCCTCACGCAAGAGCCCTTGGACTTGAAGCGTGGATATTGCACAGGCTCAATTTTGGTTTACCTTTTTAATGCTTTTTAATTAATTCCACTAGAAAGTGGGGGGCGGTGAGGATCGAACTCGTGACCTTATGGTCACTGAGGCTCTGATACCATATTAAGAACCATTTCAACCCAAAACCTTAAGGTGTTGGGTGAAAGCCTTTTTAATGATTTATATTATTCTCTAACAGAAGCACAAGATCATAGATATGTGAGAATAAACTTACTTAATTTTCGCATTAGCGGTTACCTCTTGCACTTTATTATTCTCTTTAATTTTCTTTATATGGAAAGCTTCAAAAAGTTCTCAATTTTTTTGATTCCTATATTCATTTCATAGGTGGAAGTCTTGAAAGTGTTCCCGGATGAACTAACTACGGTCTTCTTGTATGACGTGACTGCCACCATCACAACAACAATTGTTTGTTTATTCACAGCGCCAAATACAAGTGCTTGGAAAATTGGACTAAATATTTCACTGATCTCTATTGTCTGCTCTGTAAGATACCCTTGCAAACTACTGCTATATACACTTTTAAGCTTGTGTATTGTATTGATGACACATTCTTTTTTTCTTAGGGAATATTTGGAAAGTTAGTCAGCAATGTAGTTTACACCTGGGCAGTGCACTTAAAGGGGCCTGTCTTTGTTTCATCATTCAAGCCACTCCAAATTGTTATTGCTGTTGCCATGGGAGTTATGTTCCTTGGTGATACTCTTCACTTTGGAAGGTATGGCTAATTCAGTTTTTGCATTTGATTCTTGCTTAAAATGCAAGGAAGTGAATATAAAAGTGTTAGATAAATACAGCAGTTGCATTATGACAAAATCATACCTGTTGAGCATGTGCTGTATGAAATAATCATGAATGAAACCAAAACCTGGTAGTAATGGACATAAGTGGATTAGAAAAAACTAGAATGAAACAAGATAAGGAAAATGAAGAGTTAGCTAATAGGAAGAACCATGATGGTGTCAAAGAAGACAACTGAGAATGACTCCATAATGAAAAACTAGCTTGCGGTAGATTGTTTATTCACTGAATAGGTGACCATGTGTGCTTATTCATCCTCAACCTGAAACTAACCACTTTTTGGAAATTTTCTTGCTCATTTGTGATTTTCCACTGATCAAATGCCATTTTAATTAGTTAATATCATTAAAACCCTTTAAAAGCTCCAAATAGTCATGGAATCAGTTCATTTTTCTACTGATACAATATTGTCATATGAAGAAGAAGCTGTCCAATTTAATGATATTGTTTGCTGAACTGTTCATTTGCATACATTCTTTCTTCATTTTGCAGTATAGTTGGAGCCACAATAATATCATTTGGCCTTTATGCTGTATTGTGGGGCAAAGCAACAGAAGAGATTGAGGAAGATGTTGGTAGCCTTGAATCACCAACTACTGAGAATGTTCCTCTCTTGCAAAGCTACATAACTAAAACTTCTGACAAGAATCCAGATAGAAACTATTGTAAGACAAGCAAACCATAAGGAATCCATTTTTCTGGTCATAGAACAGCAAAGTTCACAATGCTATGATGAACAAAACTGTGGTTTCATTGTCTCCCAAAGGTGATATGAAGTTGTCTTCCAAACCAAGTTGTTTACCCTCTAAGAGGATAGTGAATGGAAGATTTTCAATAGTTCATTGGATATAAGACAATGGATGGGATTTCGTTGAATAGAAGTTCTTTCTTGTCTACTTTCACCATTAAGCAAGGCTAATGATACATAGCTTGCAAGTGGGGGCAACCTTTGTTCAAGTGTTTTATGGAAAAGCTAGCATTTTTCTGTCTAGTATCATGTCATTCTCAATGTATACATGTACAGGATAAATATAAACGTAAGTTAATTTGTTTGGACAAGAACTGAGTTCCATGTCCCTATTTTAATTTAAAATAATTTATTTTTAATTTAATTTAAAATATATCATAATTATAATTTAATGACAAATACACATTTTCTTCTCCCTTCTCACTCAACTTCTCCATAGTTGTTGAAGGGGTCACTTATCATTGTTGTTCGTGTTATGGAATATTATCTATATTCTAACTACCTACCCAAGAATCCCTTAATGAATAATGACCCAATTATCCTAACAGTGAGGAACAGTCAAGATAAGGAGGATAGAACCCCTATCCCTAAATTTGAGTAGGTGAATCCTACACCAACTGGGAGATCTACACAGCCCAAGAGGTAAACCCTATAAATACAAGGCTTAAGACCCCCAGGTACACATTCTGAACTCATTTACTACTACTGCCACACACTAGGCACACACCTACGTCGCGGCTATAAGCCTATTGCTTGTGCACAGTGATTGGAATATTGGCTATAAGCCAACCAAGGTACCTATCTATAGGATATCTCTGAGCGCATACCTTACGGTATTACTATACGGTTCTCTAGGACCGAACATTGGCGCCTCTTCCTCGGTGTACTCCTTACCAAAGAGCCAGTGTTGAACTAACCGAGGCAATTGTTTCACCATCTCTTCATCAATGTCCTCTCCACCACCTCAGCCAGCAGCCGAACCAGAAGAAGGACCAGGGGCACTCATTTCGGCGCCAGGAGAAATGACAGGGAAGAAACCCTTTCCTCAGGATGCTCAAATGGGGATATGACGAAGGGGCGTAACTCAATGTCCCTCCCTAACAGAGAATGAAGAAGCACAAAACCTTGCAATGCTACATAAACTGACAGCAAAAGGAAACAGAGGAAAGGGAAGTACCTGAATATTGAGAAATGAAGGAAAGGCAAGCTAAACTCAACCCTTCGAAGGTCTGCACAAAGAAAAACACCAATGGATCTGGGAGACACACTCGAAGGAGATGCCCAGAAACAGAAATGGCCAGAAACAAAAATGCTCAGAAATGGAGACGAAGATGTGAAAGTTGTGAACAAACGCGAGAAGGAAAATATAAAGGCGATCTCATTCTTAGGCGCGAATGTGAAAGGGCCTCAAACGTTTGAGTTGCTAAGGACAAGGGGGTAAAATCACCCCCCACGCATTTAATGAGCGCAATCATCACGTATGCAGGCTCAGAACGGCGCACTACCTACGATGCATGACCCTCAAATGGGCAGGAGACACGTGGAACGCCGTAACCGTCACTGCAGGTGGGAAGCGAAAGGTCAAGTCAATATGACAAGAGGTCAGACTTGACCTTATCCATAGCCGATTTGACACCACGGCCAGAAACGACAAAATAAGATCTCGGCAAAACAAGAAAAGAAAAATTCTTTGGACCAGACTCATAGCTCACCCGACATATTGAATGTCGGATTCTCATTCCATTATTCAACACGATCATTAAGGAACATCATATAATGAATGACCTCGGCAAGACCGAGTCTGAGATGGTACTTCAACATCCCGACATTCCGAGCTTCGCAATACCGGGCTGGGGGGCAACTGTTATGGAATATTATCCATATCCTAACTACCTACCCAAGAATCCTTTAATGGATAATGACCTAATTATCCTAACAGTGTGGAACAGTCAAGATAAGGAGGATAGAACCCCTATCCCTAAATCTGAGTAGTTGAATCTTACACTAACTGGGAGATCTACACAGCCCAAGAGGTAAACCCTATAAATACAAGGCTTAAGACCCCAGGTACACATTCTGAACTCATTTACTACTCCTGCCCACACTGTGCACACACCCACGTCTCGGCTATAAGTCTATTGCTTGTGCGCAGTGATTGGGATATTGGCTATAAGCCAACCAAGGTACCTATCTATAGGATATCTCTGAGCGCATGCCTTATGGTATTACTATACGGTTCTCTAGGACCGAACAGTTCGCATATCTCATCATTACATAATTAATATATAAAAAAATGGATAAGATCTTTTGTCAACAAAACTTTGCAGAAATATTATATTATTGTTTACTATGCCCACTTAAATAATAATAATAAAAAACATATGGAATCCATACGTCTTTAATATAAATGAATATATTATATACTATAGAAAAATTAAAAATTTAAGGGTATAAAACTTTTCATGTTACAGTAAATATATATATTTCCCCTACTGCCCTCACATAAATAGTGTATCATTTTTTTTAAAAAATAAAATAAAAAATAAAAAATCATCTGTGGGGCCCACTGTATGAGAAACAAGGCTCATCAAGTATAAACCCCAAAATTTAAACAGGGAGTTTGGTAGAGGAAAAGTTTTTTTTTTTATCTGGGAATTATGATTTCCAGGAATATGGTGAGAAAATGAGTTTTCTTGGAATGTTACAAAAAAGTTGTTTGGTAGGCCAAAATATTTTCGGGAATATAGAATTAATTTTCTTGATGCTATGTTTGGTTGTGTTAAATTTTCCCGTATTTTCAGAAAATTCCAGGAAAATCAGATTCCCAATTTTTTTTTAAAAATCTCATACAAAATGTGGATAAATAAAATTACCATCTTTCAATTCTCGGAAATCCTAAAAAAAAATCTTTTACCAAACATCCGAAAAGTTATTGATTTTGTAGCAATCTAACTACATCTTATGATTTGGCTTGCTCAAAAAATAGTAGATTCGATTCCTGGAAATTGCAACTATTGAAATGCGTGAAAAGGTTTAAACCCAATACTGGATTAATGAGATGAATTAAGACTTCCGACTCCGCTTTTAGATTTAATGAGATGAATTAAGACTTCCAACACCACTTGCAATCTAAAAGATACCTTGCAAAAATTTGATATGGTCATAACATCAATTCATATAATATAAATATAATATTAGCAGCCTTAACTTTGACATAACATAAATTCATATAATATAAATTTTTAGATTAGCAGCTTTAACTTTAATATTGCAGTTGACATCCACAGGAACATCATTGTAACTTCGGAGACACTTCACAACAGATCCCTGAACTGAACAATAATAAGGTTTTGTGATCTGTGAGACCAAAAAATTGAATTCACGTAAGGATATGGCAAGAAGATGGTCCTTTTACAAGGATTTGCTTCCTGTGGTTGTGATTATAGGCAACGAATGCAATGACATGGGTTTACTCACTCTTTTCAAAGCAGCCACCTTGCAAGGGATGAACTACCATGTCTTTGTTGCTTATGCTTATGCTGTTGCTACTATCATACTCCTTCCTGTTACTATTTTCCATCGAAGGTTGTCCCTTAATTCTAACTTTGCAGTTAGTTTGTTTACAATTGTAATGATTCCTTCATGTTTTTTTTTTTTTTTTCATGTCTCTTTGCAGGTCAAGAGTGGCTCCTCCACTCAGTTTCTCCATAATATCCAAAATTGTTCTTCTTGGGGTGATAGGGTAAAGGCACTTACTTAACTTGATTTTTAGACCACAATTTTTGAGGTTTTGTAGTATGAGTTTTCTGAGTTAGTGTTGATGTTAATTATTAAGGTCCTTGGAATCTTATAAATATTATTATATTTTCTGATAATTTATGTATCTTTTTTTGGAACTTGTTGGCCTTGTTTGTGTTGCAGAAGTTCAGCTCAGATGCTAGTATATGCTGGCACTAGTTACAGTTCTCCAACACTTGCTTCATCAATTTGTAATCTGTTACCTGCTTTCACCTTTATACTTGCCGTCACTTTCAGGTTCACTTCCCTTTGTTGATTATATTTGACAAATTCTTACTTATTTAGGCTAAGTTTTTTAAATTTCTTTTTCCTAGTTGAGGAAATTACTTGCAACATAAATATTTAGCAATAATTTCGAACCTATTTTACATGTTTACTTTTCTTGAACGCAACGCAATATCTTAAAAAAGCACACACACACTTGATGTGAAAAGAGGCATGACCTTTCAGAACTTCACTACTTAAATGCTATATTCCTAAGATTTAAGAGAAGTTAACTAAAAATCAAGATGTTAATTGCTGTTCATCTCCTAAGTAAGCAACTATACATTTTATTTACTTCAAACTGTTGTTTCTTTGGAGGACAAAATTCTACTCTTTGACACAATTAACTAATCCTCCAATTCACTAGTTCTCAATGAGATCTTTAAAGGAAATGGTTTTAAACTACTGTTTTAGAGTGCTTAATATTAAAGACTATGAATATCTCTGTCTATTGTCCACTTATTTTTGTTTTCTCTTATACTATTGCCACTGGAATTAAGGATGGAAAAAATAGCTGCAAAAAGTAGAAGTACTCAAGCTAAGGTAATGGGAAGCATAATATCAATAGCAGGTGCATTTGTATTGACTTTGTATAAGGGCCCATCAATCATCAATGGTCATTACCATCTTCCCTTACCACTTCAACAACAACCGATTAACATTCTTAATTCTGAGGATGCAAGTTGGGTCATTGCTGGCATTCTGCTGATAGCTGGATATGTACTGACTTCACTCTGGTGCATTGTACAGGTAGGTTAGGAATTGTCTTAAAGTAAGTGCTTAAGTTTTTGGGTTGAATTGATTCTTTACATGGTACCAGAGCCTCGATGTACTGGGTTCGATCCTCACTGCCCCCCACTTTCTTTCTAGTGGAATTTCTTTCTTCGCACAGGTAGGTGGGCCTGTGGATTGTCCACCCTTCAAGCCCAGTGGGCTCTCGTGTGAGGAGGCGTGTTAAGATATATAAAACCATTAATGTAGCCTCACCCATCAGCTTAAGCTTTTGGGTTGAATTGGTTCTTAACAAGTATAATTGATAACCAATGTAGAAACATGAAGAGTTTAGAATTTATAAAATAGAAGCACAAGATCATAGATATGTGAGAATAAGCTTAATTTTTTCATTCACGGTTTCCTCTTGCACTTTATTATTCTCTTAATTTTCTTTATATGGAAAGCTTCAAAAAGTTCTTAAATTTTTTGATTCCTATATTCATTCAA